GTTACGATCTCTTTCTGGATCGCAACAAAATAAGGGAGTCACCACACACCACAGCTTATTATTAAGTGAATTTATTTGTCCATATAAAACAGAACAATGTAGAATGTCAATATAAATGGTAGTCAGTGTGTCAGCAGATACATGTAAGTGTGTAACAAGTATGAAAGACAATAATCCAACCAAACACAGTGCATGGATCTTCCAAGAACAACAACCATCCCCAAAGGAGATGGATCAACGGCGGCGGTGATCTCCCGTATCCCTCACATCTCATCAGTCCTCTGGTAGCCTCATGTGTAACCCAGAATACGGAGAAAACAAAGACAGCTTAAGCTCCGCACAAGCCCAGCCCACGCTCACGCCACTCGCCATCTCGGTCCCAGTCTTTTATAGAGCGCCATGATTACCTTCAGGTGTGCAACCACTCCCCTCAGCCAAATCACCTGTAGCTCAGAATTAACCGGTTACTTCCTGGAACCGTCACACTAACCAGTTTGAATTTTTGTTTGTCATGCGTCTAAAAATTTCTTATTAAGAATTAACAGAGATGTAGATGTTAATGTTTATTGAAAATAATACAATTTAAAGTCACCGTTGTGGAAATAAGCATTTGCTTTAGTTGGACTCTTGACCCTTGATTTTTTAACATTAGTTTATTCTCTGGTTGCTGTCACTGTGTTTATGAAACTAATTTGTTACGGCACGAAAAACCAATAGAAAATGTGTTCAGAATAAGTTGCCTATTTATTTGATAATGACGTTGTTGTAGCCAGGTTCACTAAAATCATCAGTAGTAGTGTGTAATAGTTAGTTATTGATCACAACTGTATTTTAATGAAATAACAGGAAGAGCTTTAAAAACACTTTGCACACCAGTTTAGAACATCTGTACTGTTTAGACACACAGACATCAAGAATCAGCATATGAATCTCAACAATGGTGATGATCATCAGACAGATTCATGTTGCATTGCATTCTGGGTGCACCAATCATAACTCATCCATGGCTCCCAGCATGCATTGCGACATGAATAAATTATGCAGCTGCATTGTCTAAGTATTTTCTTTTATTTTTACTATTTTCTTTTATTTTTATTATTTTTTTGTTGTGAATTTTTACTGCCTTGTTTTGTGACTTTCAAAAATCACATAAAAATGATCAGAATATTTTGTCACCATTGCTGAGATTCACATGCTGATTCTTCTTGTCTGTGAGTGCCAGAATTGAAACCTCTTAATGAACCATATTTATAAAAGTCGTTTAAGAAGGTTTTTCTCTCATTGTTATCTCATATAACTGCAATAACATAGAAATCGTAAAAGCACCAAAGTTTTCGATAAATTGCAATCAGAGACTTGACATGATTTTACCATGCGTTCCTTAACATCACAAATGTGTTTAACACCCAATTGTGCCAACTAAAGAGAAACTTAAACTCAAAAAGTCAAGGGTCAAGAAGCAACTAAAGCAACCACTATTCACAAAAACAGTAAGTTGAGAAAAAAAAACATCTAAAAATTAATTCTCAGTAAAGAACTTCTGTTTTAGATAGTCTAACTGGTCAGTAATGCATGAAGCTGGTGATGCTGCTTGTAGAGTTGTTCAATCATCTTCTGCTGAGATCTTGAGAGATTTAATGTCTTCTCTTATTTCAGTATTTCATCTAAGTCTGTGGCTGAAGTCAGTTGTAGTTCTTGTGTTTCTCTTTTCTTCAGTGATTCTGCTTGTTAACAGCAGCTGTTCATCACGAATGCTCAATCAGCACTTAATTAATCACATAATTATCTCATTAACTTTAACACTGCTTCAGTGTTACTTTAACACTCTTTTAGAGTGGGAGCATATATGCTCCGAACAGTGTTAATTTAACACTCGGGATTTTACTGTGTACATTTGCAGGGGTTGTTTAATATCAAGAGAGACATGTGACCATGCTAAAGGAATAGTCTAAAGGAGAATCAACAGTCACCCAGGTAAGAATAATTCTGGAAATTTGTTGTGTTATTGTGAAATCTGACATGAAAGAAAATAAATTGTTGGAAAAAGTAATTTTTGTTTTCTTTGTGCAAAAAAGTATTTCTGTAGCTTCTTAAAATTAAGGTTGAACCACTGATGTCACATGGACTGTTTTATCTACGTCCTTACTACCTTTCTGGGCCTCGAACGCGGTAGTTCCCTTGCTGTCTATGCAGGGTTGGAAAGCCTGGGATTGCTCTGGGATTTCATCAAAAATTTCTCAATCTGTTTTCCGAAGATGAACAGTCTTAGGGGTTTGGAACAGCATGAGGGTGAGTAATTCATGACAGAACTTAAATTTTTGGGTGAACTATCCCTTTAAGGGCACATTTCTAACTGTGTGTTGGACTATGCAAATGAGTTCCACAGGGGGAAAGAAGGGTGGGCCACACTGTTTGTGACTACTCTGATGCCAACAGCCAATCACAGCATTAGAATGCAGACGTATCAAATTGTGCATCAAACTCCTCTTCATCGGAAAGGGATAAAGATACCCTTTCAACGGGCACTCCTTGTTTTGAGTCTTCGGCCTGTGAGGGAATGGGCAGTAACAGATGAACAACATTCTGAGTCTCCATCTTAATGAGATGTTAACAGATTGACAAGTTCCCAAGAGGTAGGAGACATGAACAGATTACCAATTTCTGAGTCTGTCTAATGAGACAACAACAGTTGCAGCATGTCTTGAGTCTCCATTATAGAGAGACAAAGCAGAATGATGAAGTTCTGAGTCTTTGGCTCAGAGAGGCAGAAGACATACAGACATTTGCAACCTTCACTTCCGTGTTTCAGATTTTAGGACACTTTGATGCTCCAGGAGATCAGCATCCTGCAGTGCTTCGAATTCAAGGCTGTTGAAATGGATTCCAGCTTCTTTTCTCACTGCATTGTTACCCAGCACAAACAGTGGAAAAAGTCATCTGGACTGCTCACTCGACCACGGGGAACGTAAATATCAAGTAACCAAACCTCTTTCCAGAGACCTTGGCATGGTTGCATATTATTAGTATATGATTTTGTAAATTTATGTGAGATGTTATATAGCTGATGTCAGTTAATAACAAATAAACTTTCATTAATTTTTTTGATGCAAAACACGGTTCTTCAACTTAGTAACTTCAAAGAATCAACAGTTTCAGTTTAAGTTTTTCCAAAAGATAATGCAACTCGTAGCCATAGTAACACCCAACTTAATCACTTGCATTTTATGCATCTTGTGCAGTCATTCATGGCATTAATTTAGTAGTTGTTGATTACTCTTGTTTATGTTTTGTTAAAAACATAAATTTTATTAACTTCCTTGTGTTGACAGTACAGTAAGAGGCATACAAGTTAACAATATTTAAACAATTTTTCAGATAAAGCACTTGACCAACTTTCTCCAGTTTGTTAATTCCAAAGAGCCCCCTATTGGAATTGTTCTCATGCTGCCAAGGTAAAAGTACTTGACTGGTGCCCCAAACTAAGAGAGGGGGTAGTGGTAATCTGATGTACTCATAGTCATAACTGCACCTTAAGTGACATGTGAACCAAAAATCAACATGTCATCTGTGACGCGAGTACCAATCGCTACACTACACCTTGTTCAGAAGATGCTACAATTATCTATACTGTTGACCTATCAGAACCTGTAGAAATGATGCCAAATGATTATCCATACAGTATAAGTCCTAGTGGTTCTGTGTCCTATGTTAGTTCAAGGCTGGATCCTCTTACTCATTTCTATGGCATTTGGAGATGTGGAAAACTTCAGTAACCAGATTAAACTATACTGTGTGTGTCTGGAGTGATGGTTGTAGCAGTATTTTACTGTAAAATACATTTGTTGAGTGAACTTGCAAAAACATCAAACTAATAAGATTCTCCCTGCCTGAACTGTCAAATACAATATTCCTTGTAGCAATAACATATTTTCCTATGAATGTACACCTAAGAAGAAAGTGACAGTTTATGGTTTTATTGGCTTGGAACAGACATAAACACACTTTTGCTTAGATAAACACACACGTCTTTTAATGTCCCAGATATTTATTTGAGGACATGCATCCGAGTATAAAAGACAACAATGTTCAACATCTAACATAGTTTTTAAAACAACTGTAGGCAAGTTAACCTTGAACAAACTAGTTTACTCAAATCTCTGCAAAATCTCTGGAAGGACTGAGAAAAGAAGTGGATTCACTAGAAGTAGACAAGCAATTGGGTTTCTTTCCTTATCTGCGCTGCGGTCTTGACCCCTTGAATGGATCAAACTCATCCTGTAGGGAGAAGTGAAGGTAAATATCAATTTGTGAACAAATCCAAAACAAAAAGGAGTGGATATTATTCCTACCTCGTCTTCATCATCAAAGCATACTCCTTTAAAAGACTGGCTCTGACTCTGGGAGCCCCTCTTACTGGCACTTAATGAAGTCAGCCTATTGGTTAAACAAGGAAGGCATGGGCAACAGGTTTAGTTACTTTATTTAAAAAAAAAAAAAAAGTTAACTAAATACATTTCACAGCTTTTCAGTCTTAAGCACTCTGTAGTTAAATTAATCCAGGAATGCAAAAATAAGCAAAACAAATTGTTAAGATGTGTTTTCCACATTTATGCTTTTCAACTTACTTTTGTTTTGGCTTGGAACATTTTAAAAATGCAACGTTCTCATCTGAGTCACTGTCCTCTATGGTAATCTGAAAAGGAAGAGAAGAATAAATAGAATACAAAATGGGAATGAAATCAAATTACTTATCGCAGCAAGATGACATCAGCAATCTTAAATCCTGTGAAGTCCTATGCAGTTCTTCTCTCCACTTGTAAAGAATCTCTACAAAGGTATCTGTAGCTTATATACACTCTCCAAATATAGTTATAATTGCAAATAACTATTTTATGAAAATATATATTTTTTCTGAATGAATGGACTTTAATGGATAATGCATCAAAAAACGTACTCGGTTACTAACGTAACCTCGGTTCCCGGAGTACTGCGTCTTGCTAGACGCATATGGGAAAAAAAGCCTTTTTTCTCCTGAACTGAAGCCTTTTTTCATTCACGCAGTGAAACTGCACGGCCATTGGTTCGTGCAGTGTGTTAAAAAATGAACCAATGGCTAGGCAGCGGAGCTGCACAAGCCTATAGCGACGAAGCCCGCCAAGCCTGCCAAAGCCCGCTAGGATGGGCGGGGCATCTGGCTATATAAGCGGGCATTCGCCACAGGATTCTCAGGTTACTTCGACTGAAGCGACGACTTCTGGTTAATCGTTCCAGAGTGCTCCTGTAACTTCGACACCCAGGGGTAGAGAGCTAACAGGTGAACTAATGCCAGAGAGTTTGAGCGTGATACGGCCAAGGGCTCTCTGCCAGATCTGTTTACGCAGCGCATGTCACTTGTTGTTTCTGCCCACCGATTGGCCCTCAATAGGGGCATGAGAGGCCGCTATAGCCACCACA